CGAGTCGAAATATGACATCATGGACGAGTGTTAATAACTTTCAAAATAAACATTCATGAAACTGAATTCGGTCCTCATTGTTACGATTTCAGAGCATTTCATTTTATCGAGTAAACGTCATATCTCGCACCCTAGTAAACTCCAAATCGCTAAGGCATACGCTCTACAAACAAAGGGACGCTTTTCTTTTTGTTCAAATTATAAAAATTAAAAAAAAAAAAAAAAGAACGTAGTTTGAAAGTTTTAAAAAAGAGGTTTACTTTTTGTTGCTTTGATTATCGCGTGCATGCAAGTTTTCGAAGTTGTCTGCTGACAAAATACGAACCCTAAGCATTTTGCTAAAAAAAGGTACGCGCACCAAATTAAAGCGATATTTACGGCAACAAAAAATGAAGCCACTTTTTTGTTTTTGTTAACATAACGTTAGTTTGCCTATTAAAACCTTTTTCAAACTACGTTTTTTTAAATTTTATAATTTGAACAAAAAGAAAACGCTCCATATTTGTTTGTAGAGCGTAGGCCTTAGAGTATCTATTACTAAGAGCGTAGCTGTCTAACCCTTAGCAATTTTTTCTCTCTACAATAACGACATACGCTCCTCAAATGCCTAAGTTGTCTGTCTTCTTAAATATTTCTCCAATTTTCAGAAAAACCTTGATAGCACACTGGCAGATACACCCAACGGAAACAAAATTAAACATGGCATTTCTGTTGGAGACAAAGAAAGTGTGAATTTTTAGTGACGTATTCCTCCCAATATTTCTGCGTAACTCCGAGGTGTAATCGATCGGACGGTGACACGGAACGCGGAGCCAATAACAGCACAGAGCACAGCAGTATAATAGTATACCTGCTTTCAGCTAGTGTTCGGTTCACTTTGATTCTTTATTTTATATAACATTAGTCTGAACACACAGTCCCCGGCGAAAATAATGACAGCCAGTATTTTTTTTATTTAACGAAAGTTCAAGACTAATATCATAACTTGCAAAAAATCAAGATGAAAAGTGACTTCCTTTTAGATCTACAGATAAAACCCTCTACGTGCACGCCATTGGACCAGACCGTGGCGTGCATTTAGAGGGAGTGTGCATTTAGGGAAAATAGTAATTCGTGTAACACCATAAGATTATGATATATTTATGATTGTTTGTCTCATTTGACTACTTTTCCTTCCATTAACAAATTTTCAAGACTGCTTAACTGTCTTATCTGCTCACTTGTGGCAAAAACCATCGTACATTTTCAATGCAACTAATAGGAATTTCATCCATTTCTTTGGCGTTCAATATCTTCTTTAAATGTCTCTAATAAGTTGGTTATTGTTTCTCTTCAGAATTAAACAGAAATTGCATTGGGTCTGTTCCAATTCACTTCCTAAGACGCATGTATTAATACGGACTAATTAGCAGAACAACAATCATTAACAACGGCCACAACAATGATAATCAAGGCTAACAAGATAATTATAATTAACAACGGTTCAAATTTTACAGAGAATAGTAATAGTAATATGATTGGTCAATAAAATTATTGATTACATGCATTTGAAAATAATAGTATATGGATAGTCCCAAGCTCGGGACCGTGCCAAACCGTGCATTTAGGGAGGTGTGCACTTAGGGGATTTTGTCTGTATATTAATTTAACCTAATTTTATGAATAAAATTTTGATAAGTTGGCAAGAAACAAAGGTAAATATAAAAGCTTTTTTACATTCACATATTAGGCAAAATTCTATTTTTCGGTTTGTAATCTTCCCAAAACGCGAACATTTGGGCCCTGATCGATCATTGATGCAAAGATTTGGGGGTTTTTTGACAGCAATAACCCCTTCTCAGGATGACCCCAAATTGGCATGAGATGTATTGTAACAAATGATCTGCACAAATATTTGGGGTTTGAATTTCGAACGGCCCTTGTATTACTCAACTTCAAACTGTTTTGTAGAGAAAGGTTTTACTAATGCACTTGAGGTAAAGACTACCAAGATGAGTAGAGGGGACTGCTGAGAACATGTCTATGAAAAAAAACCCCCAGTTTGTGTACCCATATCGTTAACCGCCATTTTTGATAGATCAGGCCCATTTATAGTAGGTTTGAGACAGTTATTATAAGTTTATAGTCAATCCAAATCTCACTGAGATTATTAAAATGCAAATATAAGACAAGGGTAAATAGGAAAGTAATAATACATTTACATATTACTATAATAACAGATAACCGATTTTTGTATTAAAAAGATTGTCCCCGCCATTATTTTCGCCGTGTACATTCTCATTATATACCGATATTTTTGTTCCGTCAAAAATTTATTGGTGAAGCGGGGTATCGGTAGATCGGGTTTTTCTTTTTACTGATAATATATGAGTGATATACAAATATCGATTTATCGGGGTGTTAAATAAATTTTCAAGCTTTATTGTTTACGCAGATAAACAATAATTACGAATAAAACCATCAATGGACGTTTGCTTTTTTTTTTCTTTTTGAGAAAGCAAAGTACAGATCTTTTTCAAAACAGTGTAAGTTGTTTAAGAGAGTTAGTCTTAGAGGAAGATGATACTGAAGTTAACATAGATGAATTAAATGGTTACATTAGATACTTCTATAGCTAATAAACTGGTTCAGAGATGTTAATATTAATAATATTAATATTGAATTCAAACATCTACCAATAAAATTTCATCAGAAAATCGTCCAATCACAGAGAAAGCCCGCTATGTTAAGCGTCATTTCCGTGACGGAGTGACGTCATAGCTAACTTGGAATTTTATTAGTTCTTTAACTATAATACGATGTCTACACTTTTTCTGAGACGTCTCGGCTTTTCCGTGACGCTGAAGATATATAACAATAAGCAGCTCTTATCCCACCGTCAAAAACCCATGTTGTTAGTTACGATCTATTGTTGTTAATAATATTCCACGGAATAATCAAATAAACGATTCCTTTTATGATCGAAATTATTACGTCTTTGATCCGGACATACCTGAAACAGTTTACTTAAGCTGTAATAAATGCTCATTAAGCTGTCAAGTTGTTCGTATCTTCAATTACGCGAATAGCGGAACGAGGGCTCATAATTAATTATTACGATGAATATTGTTTAATTAGCTTCATTAAAGACAAGTGACATTTATCCGACTAGTCGAAATACCAAATCGAAGTTATCCATGTTTAATTTATAAATAGATTTTTTCCTTCGATTCTGCGATAGAATAATTGTTCTTATCGTAGGTACCTTTATTTGATTACGAGTAAGGAATCTCGCATAGGGCGTTAGGAAGCGCGAATATTAAATTAGGTTACTTGTAGATTTTAGTATTCAGTATTATTACCCTTTTCAAAATTCTAGATCCCACCTCATGATCTCATCTCACTTCGTCCTGCCGCGCCAATCAGCTAATCTAAAGACTTGCGCTTTTACTTTTTCTATTATTTGGGGCTTTAACTGCCTTTTTATTATGTATACTTATGTATTATAGCCCAACATATAAAAGCTGTGTCCAGTAATCAAGGTAATCAAGGGAAATCGCTGGTAATCGAGAGAAATCGCAGGTAATCGAGAGAAATCGCTGGTAATCACAGGTAATCACCGCAACCATGAAAACAGTCCTCGGCTTCTAAAGAGTTCGTTGTATTAAACTCAGCTTCTGACTTTAGTTAAAAGTGACCGCTGGAGTGGTCCGCTTGGAAATCACTGTGTACTGACCTTTCTTCGTGAGCGCGCGCGAGTAATCACGTTTGCAAAAAATTTTCGTGTGACTGACAGACAGGGACCTAGAATTTTGAAAAGGGCAATAATTGAACAACTACCTAGTAAGAGTAGCGCGAAGCTAACTCGGTCGGAAGAACACCCCTACGCGAAAGATTATCGCTCTTCCAAAACCCAGACCACCTGACCGTAACACGTTACGGAAATTCAGAAATCGCCTCAGCACCCGAAAAATCTACCAGAATTAGGCTTTTTTTTAAAAGCAAGAACCCACCTAAAACGTGTTTAAATTAATCAATAGTGTGCCTCGAAGAATTGAAAAATGTATTGCTAATAATTGGCCAATCAGATATTAAAAAAGGGTTTCCAGCTTACTAAATAAAATGGTTGGTGTACGCAATTTTTAGTTTTTCGTCCATTTTAAATTTTAACGGAATACAATTATAATGAAAAGAGTACAGGATAAGTAGAGCTTTCAAACGATATAAATTTTGTTTAGTAAATAAACGTCATAAAAGTTTTGGATTTAAAACCTTTGTCCATCGAGTGTATTACTACACTGCTATAAAGAAAAATTTTAAGGCCCAATTTATTGTAACACTAATAGCTCCTGTTATTGATACTTGAATTGGTTTTCACAAGAACTTTCATAGACGTGAGCCGAAACCCCCCTAATAACAGACACAAACGGACTTCAGATTTAAGGCTGAGAATATCAAGGGCCTGCTAATTTTAAAGTTGCGACCACGAGAAAGCAAAGACTTAATCAAAGCAATTAATATTATTTTATCAATAATAATAAAAGCATTCAAGAATAAACATTGGCTAATTCTGATAAGCTTTTGCAGTAGTTTTTTTAAGTGTCATTACTAGCGACGGACAAAGATGACTTTAGCTTTAATAAAATGCTCCTTTTCAGGCATACCAACGTTTATAACAACACGTTGTCCTCTCCACAGAATATCCAAAGTGCAAATCACATGAAAATCACGGGCGTGCATTTAGAGAAATACGGTGGGAAATGCATTTATGGGTGTGCATTTATGGAGAGAGAGTTGACTGTATATGAACGCTAAATGATTTGTTTGATGGCGTTACTGTTACGTTCACTTGACCATTTACAGATTCATGACGTCAGACCATTATTGTCATACCAACGAATCTTTCACATTCTCGGCACATGCCGTAATACCTGATCATACGATCCATCCGCTATAAAAAGACATCATTTCACTGCTTATTAAACATATCTCGTTACTTTATCTTGGAATAACGAGGAAAAATGGTGAAAGTTGGCATCAATGGGTAACAATATCACCTACAGTTCTTGTGTTTTAACAAACGAAAGTGTGCCAGCAACATAACTCACTGGTGGTATTGTTAGTTTCGGTCGTATTGGTCGGCTTGTTTTAAGAGCGACCTTCCAAAGCGGAATGGAAGACATCGATGTGGTGGCTGTCAATGATCCTTTCCTTGACCTCAATTATATGGTTAGTAACTGCATATAACACTCTCTAGACACTCATGTATTGCTTACCATAGTTTATTGAATGTAATACTTGATATAGCTATTGTCAGCAGTCACCAAATGTTACATTGTTGCATTTGTCTTCGTTAATTATAAACTAAAATACTGGCATCTTGCAGTTGTATCTATTTAAATACGATTCTACACACGGAAGGTTTAAAGGCGGAATCAAAGTTGAGAATGGTAAACTTGTGATAGGTAGACATACCATCACCGTTTTCAACGAAAAAAATCCCGCGGAAATTCAATGGGGTAGCCTTGGTGTTGAATATGTGATAGAGTCGACTGGTGTGTTCACAACGAAAGAAAAAGCATCAGCTCACCTAAAGGGAGGCGCCAAGAAGGTTATTATCACCGCACCAAGTGCCGATGCACCGATGTTTGTATGTGGTGTCAATCTTGACAAATATGATCCTAAATATACGGTCATTTCCAATGCATCATGCACAACCAATTGTCTTGCCCCGCTAGCTAAAATTATTAATGACAATTTTGGCATCGAGGAAGGTCTTATGACAACCGTCCATGCCACCACTGCTACGCAGAAGACAGTCGATGGTCCCTCTGGCAAAGATTGGAGAGGGGGCAGAGGTGCAGGTCAGAACATTATTCCAAGTAGTACTGGCGCCGCCAAAGCCGTCGGCAAAGTTATCCCAGAACTTAATGGAAAATTGACCGGCATGGCCTTCAGAATTCCGACACCCGATGTATCCGTTGTTGATCTCACTGTTCGAACAAAACAAAGTGCCAGTTACGATACTATTAAAACTGCTGTTAAGGCAGCTGCAGCAGATCCGAGATACATGGGAATAGTTTCATATACGGAAGACGACGTGAGTATATTATTAATATTATCTCGGCATTTGTGCAACACTCACCACATTATCTTTTCCTTGTAAACGTAGGTTGTCTCAGCAGACTTTATCGGTGACACTCATTCATGCATCTTCGATGCTAAAGCTGGTACATACGATTCATCAATAGTGCTATTGGGCATGAATTGTAATTTGCTCTTATTTACTAATTCTGCATTCTTATTCGTAAGGTATTGGTTTAAACGATCATTTTGTCAAACTTGTTGCGTGGTATGACAACGAATGTAAGTATACACTACCTTTCATGACATCGCATATGATAAATCCTATCGAAACAGATATTGATTTTGGTTTATTTTTTTAGTTGGTTACTCGACTCGTGTGCTCGACTTACTTAAGTATGTTGCTGTAAAAGATAAAGCTTAGTTCCGATCAAAGTAAGGTTTCCTGATGCTGCTGTAAGTTGTAACGATCAAATAGTTTCAGGATATTTAATAAACATAAAAGCCGCAGTACATAATTGTAACATCATTTACGGACTGCTCTGTGGAAAACAGTCGATTGGTTTCAAAAACTTGTAACAAGATCTGGCTGGAGTTTCTGTCGGCGATCGAGATGGAACCATTATCTCTTAAATATATTAATATGGTCATCCGTATCGAATAGATGACTGCGGATCCGATTCCTAGACGCTCGATTGAATAAATTAACTATTTTATGCCGCCTTTGAAGGAAGTAAATGTAGCAAGAATCATTCGTGCGAATTTGACAGTCATTATAAAACCGCGTTCACGTACACAAATTTGCACTTTTCATATTAACAACTATTTCTCCGGAAAGAATCAAGGCCCCATCAAGCAATGCCCGGAGGAAGATTCCCGAGCGCCATTTTCATCTCGATCTATTACAGTCCCACTTGTACATCTCGGACCCTCCTATTTTTTGAACGCTCCCACACCAGCTGCAAGTTTTTGATTTACCATATTCGACACCTCAAAAGGAGGGATGATAGTGGCATCAAATCCGCGAGTAAAAAATGCGACACTCTTTTATGAACTTCGCTTTGCAGGTGTTTGATTTTTCGTCGCATCTTATCAAGTCGCAGGCCTGTTTCTTCTCACATTTTGAACTAGAGGAGCATTATAAGTATTCGAAAACCGATTGTAAGTCACTAATTGTCGTTTAAAGATTTATCGATAGTAATAGGAGGAATAGTCAAAGGTTCCGATCGAAGACGCTAAACGCCCCACGTGTATTTATTACAGTATATGTAATCATATGTAATCTCTTCAACGGGAGGCATTTATTTCATCGACAATCATTTCATCGACAGTACACTTCACCGACAGTCATTTCACGTGACAC